ACAGCTGGAATTCATTTAAAAGACTTTTTTGGTGTTTTGTAATATTTTCACTGATTATGATGAGTTGAATATAAAATACATGTATAGAAAACAAGCAGCCTGTCGGATGAGATAGCTCCGCTGTTAGCAATGCACATGGCAATTAGAGAACAGAAGATATCATTAGAAAATGAACAAATCTGAGAGAGGTCCACATGTAGTACCTATATGTATAATATATCAAAGCAATTGGACTTGCGGTTTTCAACAAGAAGTCGAAAATATCACTTTTTACCAAAAATGACAAAAATATTCACCAAAATTAGAGAATTGAAGATATCATCATGAAATGAACAAATCTGAGAGAAGTCTACCCAAGGTACATATACACGAAGTATCAAAGCATTCAGGCTTGTAGTTTTCAAGAAGAAGTCGAAAAAGTAAAACATTGACACTGACGGACGACGACGGACAATCATTCATATGACAAGCTCCGCTCGACAAATTGGACAGCGGAGCTAAAAAACACCAACCAAGAGAAGTTTGTAATACTGTCATATCTACTACACAGTAAACAATTTCAACTTTGAACATTTTAGCCAAATTTGTTGTCAGAATTAGTTTTTCTAACCAAATCAATTAGTGATTTGTTGCCGGATTTGGTTAGCAAAATTTTGTTAACCATTTCTATTTAGTATTTTATATAGCTTTGGTTAGCAATTTTGCTAACCACGATTTTGCCACTCAAATTTTGCTAACCATTTATGATTAGCGAAAAGAGTTTTCAGCTAAAAATAAAACATCACCCTACAACACGTACCTGTTATACCTCACAGCCAGTCCCATGTCAGCAATCGCACATGTCCCATTTTTTTTAACTAATATATTTTTTGATTTCACATCTCTGTGTGCTATAGCTGGTTTTCCTTGTGTACCGAATATTTCTGTGTGTAGATGAGAAAGTCCACTAGCCGCAGTACATGCTAACTGGACCATAGCTGATGTATTCAAGGTTGTACATTGGAGGTAGTCATACAATGATCCGTTCTCATGGTAGTCTGTTATTAATAATAACTGCGTCCATCCACCGGTACCTCTGATGTCAGCAGCTATAAAACCTGTAAAAATTAAATAAAAACCATCAAATTGTGTTACCAATAATGTTCTATTTGTGAATCTATTGAAAAAGCTGATGATTGAAAGAAAATAATTATTTGTAGATTTGATTAAAATTACCGTCAGAAATGCAAGAGTATATGAATTATTTTATCAACTACTGTTATGTCAAAACTACAAATAAATTTTATTTTTATCCTAATCAAAATAGTTTATGAAATAATTATTTTAAAATATTCAAAGTTATAATCTCTTTATGCAATTCTCTTGTACCATTGTACAGTAGAATGCTGCCAATACTGTAGAGTACTTTATGTTTGCTTGGAATTTATTTTCGCTATTTTCGCTGAAGGGATGATTCCGTGAAAATAAAATCCAGCGAATATACATTTTTCTCCCTATTTTATATTAATCTCATTAAAAATCAGTGAAAATAAATTCAAAGCCAAACGCCCAAAAAGCCTTTTTAGCGAAAAATTAATTCCAGCGAAAATAAAGTATTCCACAGTAGGTGCATGGCCAAGATATTAACAGTTTATCACTGACATACCCAAAATATTGTCATGTCTCATAAGAACAGTCTGGTAAATCTCTGTCTCTCTAAACCAACTAGATTCTTCTGTGGTGAAGAACACTTTGACAGCTACATACTCTCCCCGCCATCTTGATTTCCAAACCTCACCGTACCTCCCTTTGCCTATACTCGATATCATCTGAATTTGCTTTGCGATTGTTCTTTGAACCTTAATTAAAATAAAAAGTTAAATTATTGCACGCTCAGTATTTATACTAACTTCATACACAGCAAGCTAGGAAAAAATGTTATCATTCCATATACATTATACAGTAATCAGTGTACTGCAAAAAATGTACAATGAAATCATATAACCAAGACACCGATAAGCCGGATCTTACCACGCTTTCTCTATTTATCACATGTATAAAGTGCGGTAGCTGTGACATGAGGCTTTGTTATATTTTTCCATATTAAACCCCAAGCAGAAAATCTGATTGGTCCTTGCACTCTTTGTGAAATTGTGTGTTATCACTTAGTCACCTGATAAAATGCCACATACAAGCCTTCATTCACCACACCATATTACATACCAGTAAGGGGAGCCCTGACCCACTCCCTGAACTCTGATCAATCAAATCCTTCAAAGTTTCACCGGGACTAATAAAGGTTTCTTCATTTTCAGCGACTTCCAAAGCAAATCTGCGCCTATCTTCTCGTTTTTTATATCTGTAATTAACAAAAAAAAATAATACATAAACGTTTAGTAACTCTTTCAGTAAAAGTGATTTACTTTCCGGACCAATATACTGATTCAAAATCAAATGGAATACAATCCCGCATATTAACTACAAGAGAAAATTTTCTCATTTCTCTTCGTCCACATTTTATTTTTGTACTGAGCAATATTCTAAGGTTTATTTCTGTTTTATTTTGAAATAAATTGAACAAATAGTGATAAACGCTATAATATAACTAAAGACGTATGAACAGATTGTCAGTCAAATTCTATAATTTGATGTGCTGTATATTTACACGAGAATATAGAAATTCAGAATAACAAAGTGGAATCAATAGAGGGCACTCTTTGTATCTCTCTTTATGTGGAGGAATTGTAACACTGCAAACTCTCAACTCAACTCACCTCAACATGCATCCCACACAAATCATAAGAATGATTAGACAGACCGGGACTGATATAAACCAAGCAATGTGCTGTACACTTTCATTCACCTGATTAGGTTGTGGTTCCCCTGTAGATGAGAAAAGGCTTAGATATTATTCACAGTGGCATTCCCAATTGAGGTGGTGATCTAGATTGCATACAACTATCACAGTGAATCAGAGACTGGGTTTTCTAGCAAGCAAAATTGGGGTTGGTGCAATCTATGAAAGTTATAGACATCCCTTAAGAGCTAGAGTCTAGAATCTTACAAGTCACAGTAACTTCAATATTATAACATTATCTCGCAGGAACTATGAACACTAGCTGGGGATCAGTCTGACGATAAAGAGCAGAGGAATTGAACAGCAGAATAGAAATATTTTGTGTACACCGTCACAAATCTGACTTCATCTTCTCTTAAAATATTGGAGGTTTGAGCTTTGTAGTTGGAAGGGCACCATTTTCAAGGCAAAATTTGATAACATTGCCTTAGTGTATAGTAATAGTAATGGAGGAAAAAATGAATCCTTAGAATGGCCTCTGTGAAGTTCAAGACCTGGAGGTCTGAAGTGTAAACAAAATGCAACAAAGAATTGCTCTCCACTAATTTACATCTTCCTAGTACTTACATGGTGAGGTTGTGGTGGTTGGTGGGGGTAATGTTGGCTGTAGATCAATGTTACACAGATTACTATCGTCGCAACATAGCATCGAACGTCTTATTTTGTGCTCAGATGTTTTACACTGCATAAGAGCACCTTCATCGGGTGGAAGACATCCAGATGTCCTACCAAACAATTAAAAAGTTTTATTCATTTATTTACTGGAAGACAAATCATGAAGGAGTCCCAATTATTAATGCTGCAAGTCTGTGAAGTGAGCAGCATGAACTGTATGTTTTTTTACTGGTAAGTGGGCTACACACAGAATTGGCTCTGCCATTTCAGTCGTGTTAAGCAGACACATACGAAGTACTCAGATATGCCTGATTTGGGCGAGTAATTGCTTGCTTTTGATGAGCATTTATTCAGAGAAATGTTTTACAAAGGCCATAGCATTGTAATGAAAGTATTTTGAGGTATTTCCACCCTCAATAATAAGCTAAACACATTTGATGATGGTCAATTTTGATAAAATAAGGATATCTCAATGCAATAATCTCCTGTCAAAGATTTGCATTTTGACATTGAACATTGAACTCTTAAAAAAGAAATTTAAATTCCAAATTAAACAGTGAACAGTGAAAACCTATTCCTGCAACTGTTTTGTTTCTTCATCATTCAGAAAACTTCTCAGGAAGAGTGATGATAACCAAACAAAAACATGCTATACAATTGATTTCTGAGTTCATTAATGTAATCATAACTGACACAATGACACTTACCTTATAGGCTCCCCGTCGTAGTCTTCCCCGGGTTCATGTAATTGTATCTGACTGAAACACTTTCCTCCTTCTTTTGTGAAACATGTATTGTTCAACGTACCTTCAGGACACATTTCACGACAGTAACACTCTAGCCCTTTAACTGTAAACAAAACAAATGTTTTGTTTTTTATAATTAATTGACATAGATAAGGTTATATCAAATTATCATCAACACTGCCCTCTAGTGGCTACCAAACAAATATTTCAGGCAATACAGAAGTTTCAGTAATACAATTATGATGTAACAATTTTGTTCGGATCAACAAAAGTCAATTTACTGATTTGGTTGCTCTATTAGAAGCATATATCAGGGGTTCTTCCAGACAGAGGAAACAGAGGTGCAGCACCCTCATACCCCAGGATTGCACCCTCTAACCGAACCTGGAACAGTCAGTAGATTATGATCAGTTATATCAAATATAGCATGTTACCTATGGTAACAAAGGTTTTGAAAATCTTTTTGAAAATTTGTGCTTATAAATTACAGTACTGTTAAGTACTTTTTTTTAGCTGGAATTACTTTTCGCTGAAAAGACATTTTGGGTGTTTTGTATGAAATTTATTTTCACAGATTTTCGATGAGTTGAATGTAAAATATATGAAAAATGTTATATTTGCTGAATTTTATTTTCATCTACTATTCAGCAAAAATAAAATATTTACAG